GGGAGACGGGGGGGGGCCTAGTTAAAATGCCTGGCCACTCCTAGCAACGACCCACTCTCTGGGACCCGGTGACCCCTTCACGAGGTAGGGCCCATGATCCTGTTAACACCTGACAGGTCCATCACCTCTGAGAACCGCTACAGGGGGGAATTAAACTTCCAGCGCGTGAACCTCTGGAGAACACACAACACCCATGCCGCACTGCTGGGCAGGGCGATACTACCACACAGCTGGACCATCCCAGGACCGCCCTGTGTCTCCTCCACTCGCCTGCCTCTCACGGGAACTCAACCTGTCCTCCACCACATGCCACTGACCAGAAGGAACCGTGGGGACTTAGCCTCCTGGTGGCTGGGCTCACCCTCAACCAGCTCAGCCCCGTTCCCCACCATCCATCTCCTGGAGTGCTTTCCTCTGCTGAAACCCCTGGATTAGGAAGGGTGCCTAGACATAATTTTCTGTACAGTAGCACCTTGATTCCTGACTTTAACTCTCTACTCATGATCTGCAAGCATTTCAGTTGTAACCAGAATCACGGAACAAATTCTGTGGCCAGCATTGTGGAACAAACTGAGTTCATGAACTGAGGTACCACTGAGCTTGCAGTTGGGAAAAGAAAAAATGGCTGTTAAGTAAGCAATCTCTAGGAGAGCTGGACTTCCTATTGGATGGGTTTTAAAAAAACAATGGAGCTCTTTATGTATGTTTTATAGCCTTTTCCATACAGAAGACCCTGGCCTTCTCCCAGAACTACAAGACAAAGAATAAAAATATCAGAAACATTTGAAGGCTTCCAGCTCCTGTGAGGTTGCTGCTCAGGAAAAAATAATTTTAAACCTTTAAACACCCCAACTACTTCCCACCTGCATTCACATTGGCACATAATAGGAAGTCAGTATATTTTCCTAACAGTTGTTTCTGCCTCCGATCCTTGTGCAATGAGATGAGTAGTATACGAATGTGAACAAGCACACATGCTGTCCACTCCCGCACAGGACATGCCTGCCTTTCTCCCTTTCTCTCAGTAACTAAGTACTGCACGCCCAGCCTGTCAGCTACTTCTCCAGACAGACACAGTGTCTACTCTGGGGAGCAGACAGTGAAGCCACAAATGAATATATGAGAGGAAATACAAAACATAAGAGCCACTGCCTTAGCTGGGGAGGCAGAGAGCAGACAGACCCCTGAGGTGTGGATGTATGAGCAGGAGCCTGCGGGCGGCCACCCTAAGACAGGGGAAACAAAGGGCGCACACTGTCCCGTAGAAGGGAGACGTGAGACTGGCGCAGAGGCACTGCCCCTTGCCCAAGCCGTCCTGTGGACCTGATGAGTGCCCTGCATCCTCATAGGTCAGCAGATGGATGGCTCCAGCTCCTGGGCTGCTCAGCTGGGAGGCCAGCGCTCTGTCCCATGGGGAACCTCCGTGCCAGGGCACCTCTGTGGGCCTCTCCCTTAACTCACCACAACCCAGAGGGCCACTGCTCTCAGGATGAGCAACTGAAAGGCTCAGGTCTTCACTAAAGCACTGTATGCACTCTGGGAGGCTGAGGCAAGAGGATCGCAAGTTTGAGGCTTGCCTGGGCATCCTACTGCCTTAGTGATAGCCTGTCTCAAAATAAAAAAATAGCCTGTAATCCCAGCACTCAGGAGGCTGAGGCAAGTTCAAGACCAGCCCAGGCCATACAGTGAGTTCCAGGCCAGACTGACTACATAGTGAGACACTGTCTCAAAAATAAATAAATAAATAAATAAGGGGAAAAAAATGCCTGGCTGCATACTAAAATCACGTGGGAACTGCTGAGTGAAGACAGGTACAAAAAGGGGCAGGGATTTAGCTCAGTGGCACCGTGCCCGCCTCACAAGCTCAAGGTCCTGATTTCAAGCCCCAGTAACAAAAATAAATAAATAAATAAATAAAGAGGCAGGTACAGAACGCCCCAGCCAGGCCAGTTCAATGGGGACCTCTCTCAGTGACTGGCCTTAGGAACTGCTGGTTAAGTGTTGTAGGGTGTATTTACTCAAACAGCCAAGGTAAT